TACACTACCTATTGTCTTTTACAGTTGAAATAAGTCATCCTTTTCACCTTTGCTTCACTTCACCATCCACTTTTTAATATTTTTTTTATTTACATAAAGTCAGATGAAATAAAGAAGGTCAAAAGGCCTGCCCAGTTCATACACCCTCAATATATATGTCATGCAGAAAGTCTTTTTTTGAAACTGTGTGCACAACTTCATTTCTTTCCTTTGCCCTTATTCTTTGCCCTAACCTTGCTACAATATAAATACATAAGCATGGTGTACAGCACAAATACACACATATTTGTGTATGTGCATGTGTGCATGCGCAACCTTATAAAACACTGAAGCACAAGGAATTCAACTGGCAAGGCTAAAATTCAGTAGCAATAACCAAATTGCAACCAATGACTAAGAAACAACTCACTGGAAAGAACTGCTTAACATCTTATACAGCAAGCATCTGTTCTCATGCAAGCACATCTAACTAAAAGAGAAAGAGGAAAACGTCAAAACAGGATGATTAAAAAAATGCTATGTCAAGAATAATTTTGTAGCACTTATCATGAGGTTTCAATGCATATTTTGAACCAACTGCCATCATATTTTGATGCATTTCAGGCCCAGTCAGGAATATGTTTCCCATATTATACAACTGGGTGCCGCAAGACTAAGTATTTTTAAATTCTATTGTTTAAATATAGCCAAAACCAAGYTCAAAAAATCATCATATATTTTAATACAAAGGCTCCTGTGAAAGCCTCCAGCCTCTTCTGTATTAATGASTCAGAAAGCCACATTAACTCTCACACTGAGAAATCTGGGTATTTAATGAATATGTAGTATTAGCTACATCATAACTCTAACAGAAAGAYAGGCCACTGAAGGATCGGTTTGTGTTTGCTGTAAGCCAGTAAACTGACGCTTCCACCCCACAGTTACACACTGGGGATAATCTTTAGAAATTCTAAACTAATCTTTTTATAGATCAACCTGCCACCAATCATAGTAATTATCACTTCGGATAATGCTTTCCAATAAATAAAAGGAGAGGAGGAGAAAATTGGACTAAAAAAAAGACACTCCATTTGACATCCTGATATCAGAAGAGAGAATAGAAAGCAATAAATACACCCAAATTCTAACTTTGGCATTCAACTTCAAGAGATACTTACTTGGCACTTCAAACTCCAGCTGACTTCCAGGGATTCAGAGAGAATCAAAAGATTCTCACCTCTCAAGAGAGATTGTTTACATTTATAATTATTAAGGGTTAGATATATCAGAGTCTATTAATTTAAAACACCTTTCTTCATCTATAACTCCAGCATCCAAATAATGAAGTTGGAACCTAATGCCAAATCAAAGAAAACTCCATGGAAAGATGAAAGTACTTAAAAGTACACTGGTACAATGCCTGAGCTTATTTATCCTGCAATTGGTATCTGATGCTTTCAGCTGTCAGGCACTTATCGCAGTATCATTTATAATCTGGAAGTACTTCAGGATGTCAATRAGAAAGAATTCAAACTCCAGTTTAAAAATTAAAATTCCAGATCATGGCCCCTAAATACTGCCAGTTTAAAAAAAAATGCAATAAATCAGTAAGTGAAATAAGACATCTGCTCCTGAAGAGACCTAAGGCTACCAGAAACCTCACATTACAAGCACAACCCTAGAGCAAGAGGCTCCTAAGCACACATCTATAATTGCTTCCTTTATATAAGGAACAAAACCAATTCAAAAAGCAGCAGGATGGTACCCCATAAGAAAAATGCATTTGCACATAACAGCCAAATTTTAGAACTGTTTTTACGAGTATGTCAAGGGCACTTAGACATTGAGATAGGTGGTAGATTATCATGCAATATAAATGAAAGTAACTAGCCCCAAAAAAACAAAAATGAATGAATAGGCAAAGAGGAAAATAGAATAGAATAGAATAGAATAGAATAGAATAGAATAGAATAGAATAGAATAGAATAGAATAGGCAAATGAATACAATCTAAATCTGAACCACGGTGTTAGATTCAATTTGCGGTGGGGCTGAGGGTTGGGGAGGGAAGGAAGGTTTGTGGTAGAAAGTGGGCCAGGGCAAGATCAAAAATAAATAAAATGATATCTACAGTTTGGCAGGTCAAGCCCGTTATGTGCCAAACAACTGCAGTTTGAAAGAGCTTAATAACCTGTCTGTGTTTCAGAATTCCCCAGTTGATCCACTGAATGCACTGAAGTTCCTGAACTGCTAAAACTRAAGGCCAGTATAAAACAACTTTATGTGTGTTCCCCTCCAACAATTCCTAATAAATCGCTCACAGAAAGCTATTTCAGGAGCTTATTAGCAATTATCTTGTGAGGTGGGAGAAGAGTATAAACAGGCTTAGAATTTAGARCAGTTTCCTCATCTAGAGAGCTTCTTTTGAGGTCACAGATACAATATGGTAGGAAAATAGCATTGAAAAAGTCATGCTCTCTTTTTGCAGCTTTCCTGTAGAAGGAAGGAAGGTTTTGACCCCCAGGAATAGCAGTTTATGGCCACTGAATTCTCGGGTTCTAAAGTTGAAAGAAACCCCAAACACTAAGGCATGTGTTGCACTTAATATACAGATGAACAATTTTTGCTAGCTCCAAAAGGAGTTTGCCTAAGTTTGGGCACAGCCTACAGTCCTAACTGTACATAATTTTTAATGGAAAGGTTCTGAGACCTCTGCCCGGAGGAAAATACCAAGCAGCTTCATGCTTACACCATCAGTTACACYACAAGGTCAATGGAGGATGTGTTTACACTCTGCACTGAATCTGAATATATCTATATATAAAATATAGATACACAAATATATATATGTACACACAGAGAGGATATAAACCAAGTCTTTTAAGCTATCATACCTCTTATGTATTTAATTACTACTTCAAAGTGTTCTTTGCAAACTGCATTTCATGTGGCCCAGCCACRTTCAGAATAAAATTACACTTACTTGATCTACACAAAAACAACACACTTGTATACAAATTGCACTTACAGCTGTCACAAGGGAAATTGAAAAGTACTTCATATTGTAAGATGAACATTAATCTTTGGGCTTAGCACACTATTTAAGTATTAATTGGTTTTCAGATTGTATATATCTCTAGATATGACACATTTTACTAAGAAAAATAAAAGCAAAATGCACAGATAAAGAACTATGGAAGAASAGAAGAAGTCACATAAGTGGCTGCGGCTTTATAGTGTAATTTCCTAGAATGGGTTAAGGTTATGGATGGTTGCAATATATTACTTTATGTGTTACAAAATTCATCAACTGAGCTTTCCCTTATACTTGATGGCTACACTAAATACACCAGTGTCAGCAATCAAAGAGCGGAAACTGAAGGAACTGAGCAGAGACCACTGAAAAGAGACCAGACTTCCAGAAAAGGTAATTTTCTCCTATTTGGAAGTGTTATTTCATGCTAAACTTAACACATTGTTGTCCTAGCAATCCATTTCCACCTTACAAGTTATCCTACAGAATAAAAGCAGGAAATCCACCTCTCCTACCCTGTGGTTTGATAGCAGTTGCAGAGGCAGAGACTGTCCACCTTACTGATCTCACTCTTATCCTGAGTAGCTACAGCTGCAAGATGTACATGCAAAAGCAATGGGGGATGTAACAGCTGAAAGGAGCTTGGGATGCAATCGCCCAGAGACTGTTTCTGATCAAAGCTATATAACCATATGGCTATGCCACATGCTGATTCCACAAAAAAACAACTGACCCCTCCAATCCAAACCTTCCACTGCCAACTAGCACAAAAACAGAGYGCAACAAACATTTTGCACATCTCCTGATCTGGGTTGATTTGGTTTTTTTTGTTGTTGTTTGTTTGTTTTTGGTATCTGCTGTGACTGCTATAWGTTTTTTTAGTGAATTAGGAAATCCACTGCTGCAAAGGTGCAGAGGGAAGCAGGGAGGAGGGTGGAAGGAAATGGGAAGATATGGTCCCTTCGTACTGTTATTCTCATACTATGTACAAACAGGACTTGCATCCAGTATAAACTTTCATTAAAAGATGATTAAAGTAAGTTAATTATGATTACATAATTAGTAAACTTTTTACTAGTGAATAGTTCTCATCAAGTTATGCCCATACACTGTTCACTATCAAGCTGAAAAGCTACATAGCTTCTGCATTTATCTACCTAACAATCTGTACATGAAGAAGGAAAGCAGTTGCATATAAAACTCAAATTTTTTTAGACCTTAGCTAGATCACAACTAACTGTTCACTGAGAAGACTTAGGTTTGATTCTACTATATTCAAGTTTCATGGAAAAAGAAAAACAACAACAACAAAGCCACCCCCACCTAGAAATCATGTCAGATAGAGCCATTGGCATTTAGAATTCAATTAAGGACAAAGGCTTGAGAAATCTAAAGCATGAGTCTGCCACATATTGAACAGAAGATTCTGAGTCACCAACAGGAGTCAAAGTTCAACTGGAGGAGTTCAGATCAGCTCCAAGCAATTATGCTTTCTCCAGCTTTCCCTGGACATTTATCTGCATCTTTCTCGCTAGTAAATTGGCAAACACAGCCAGTAACTTTTCCTTGGATTTTGCATAACAGAAGAACGGGAAGGAGTCCTGGGTAAACATAAGCTACTGAGGAATTTTCACCACAGACAATATGGAGTTCAGAAATCCTGCCCCGAAGGGAAATATCAGTCTAGGAAGAGGTGATGGTCAAAGAAGAGATGTACAGCTACCCTTATTTAACACCTTTTCTTCACCTGAGCACGACRTATTTTGTGAGGTGAAGTCAGGAAATATGATCAGAGAGAATGGAGATAATATTATACAAAACAGATGGAATTACCACAAGGATGGTAATGAGGACACCCCAAAACAGTATTTCTTAATTTTTTCAATAGCTGAGTGTTGCGATGAAGATAATAAAGATAATAAAAATAAAGGAGATTGTGTTAATAGTCTCATAATTATTTCAGAGATAAGGAAGGGGGAATGACTTACTGTATAATATGCTAACCAAGAGCGGAGCATAAGGTCACAGCCATCCAGCCACCCATGTTCACAGGAGAAATTAGGAGAGCTGCAAAGAAACAGAACAAAAAGGAGATTTAATCTCTCAGTTATTTAACTGAACATGAAGGCTAAAGTGGATTTAGCTGCCATTACGAACATAGTAGGTAAGTAAATGACACTGGACAGACATGCAGAAAGGAAAAATGAGAGAATCATTTAACTTAATAGCTTAAGCTGAAGCAATTCTAACAATGGAGGAAATCACTAAAATTACATTAATATCTGAACAAGTAAGTGGAGCAATGAAGTTCTGGTATGACTTTCCAGTTCAAAGGCAAAAACTAAATTAATTTTAATTAGGAACTTCACTCAAATACAAAGGTAATTGTATTGATAGGGAAAGCAGAGAGCAAGGAATAGTGCTGAGCAATCACAGAAGCTGCCTAAATTGTGTAAGCCGTAGCATGTTGTCTTTCAGCAGTGTTTCCCTACTGTTTTTGTTAGGTGCACGTTAGGAGCACTAAGCTTGTAGCTTGCTGTTGCCTATTGACAAGGGCTTCAACAACAACAAGTATTAAGAATTGCCAGTGCTGCACTGAGTTTCTGACAGAAAGAGGCTGTTGTTAGAGCGCAGCAAAAGTAGAACTCCTGAAAGAGAATGTTGCTTTTTCTTCTTTAGAAAAGAGTTTATCCCAAGAGCTCTACTCTGCTTTGATACTGTAAAACAGARTACAGACTAAAGAGGTATGAAGTGCATGAAAGCAGGTATGCTGTAGCATTTGGGTCTTAAACAAGTTGAGTGCATTTTTGCAGATGCAAAGAAATATTCCCAAAGAATTTCTGGAAACTATGGTTGGTCCAGGATAATAAAAGAGCCAATTAAAACTATCTGCTTACATGGCTTAAAAATGTTAAGGGTTGAGGGAGGAAGGGAGAAGAGCAGACCTTGCTCCAATCCTCCAAGAGTATCTTTCAACAGTGACTCAAGAGTAAACAGTCTTCAATACAATCACCTGTCAAACTATTCCTTTCTCTCCAATAATAGATGTATTTCCCCCCCCCCCTTTTTTTTTTTAATGGACACTCCACTCTTTATCAGTAATTGAGAATCTTTCCAGCAGGCAAGGAGAGATGGCCAATTCACAGCACTGCTCTCTCAGCTGAGCGGATGGAGTTCGCTTGTTCTCTTGAAGCTCTTTTGTAAACACTAGGAGAGTTGAGGGGATTTGCTCCTTGACATTCCTCAGAGCACCAGCACCTCATCACATGGCCTGACAGCAATGCATATGAGCTATTACTTGAAAGTCGCTTTCAATTTTCACCCACTCTAGTTCAATCCCATTAATTCGTATTCATGAATTTATTTTGAAGCTAAATGTGTATTACTTTCCACTTGTAGACATACAATTTCATTCGCTCTCTTGAAGATCATTTAAACAGGAGATCTAAATCCTTTTTGAATTTTACCTGCTGTTCAGCCGTGACCTCAATTTTTGATTTTGTGGCATCAGCAAATTCAATTAGTTTATTCACCTCATCCAAGGATTTGACAGCAGCTAGAAACAAAAGAGGTCAAAGTACTGACCTCCAAGGAATTCTTGCTTAGTAATGCTTGCCAACCAAACCTGCTTTCTCYGTTTTCTACAGTTTCACTATTTTATTGGGCATTTTTAATCAGCATCCCAGATGCCTGAGCTTCACATACTTTGAACTGCAACCTGCCAACTGGAACGGTCTCGTCTTTCTTGAGCTGCCAAGAACATAGTAACTGAGCATATCCTGTGCTGACCAGGAAGAACTAGACTATACTGGTTGCACCTGGGGAGGACAGAAATGGGCCGGAGATCAGCAGAGAGTGCATTTTTCAGAAAGGTACACCTGCACACCAAATATCATTTGACCATGAGTCAAACTCTGTGGCCTTGAACAGCACTGCGGCTTAGAGCCCATTGAGTTCTCCTGCACAGCAGTTAATCTCCCCCTGAGTTGGGACACCTCTCAAGGTTACTCTCCAGAGTTAAGGGAAACTCCGACAGGAAACCTTTCAAGAGGTAAGGAAACAAGATTTGATTCTTACCTTCAAGAGGTAAGGAAACAAATGTGCAGTAAACCCACAATTAAATCCCTCCCCCCTTCCCCATTAGGCATTTGCTTGTTGCCTTTCGGTATCATGTAATTTATCTGTTTTGAAGTTCCCAAATGAGTATCTGCAGACACATAACTTAATAGCAGTCACATGATATCTGTTCACATCCCTGTTTAAAATTGTGGCTAAAGTAACACTAACTCAGATTAACTTGGGCTTTACTGCTGATGAAACTTTTGTTCACAGCACTGGGTCCCTAGTCACTCTTTTAAAGGGGCTGGCTAATTCAAGCATGTTTTTTTCATTCTGAAATTCCAAACTAAAACAGCATTTTAGGACAGCAGCAGAGAGCCTCACAAAAAAATAGGAAGGATGGCTAGAGGACCCAACATGCCACTAGTGTGGATCTAACTRGATATAGATTTGAAAAACTTGCTCTATCCACTAAGTTGTTCAACTATAATTTTTGCTTCATGAAAAGTCAGCAGACATCATCTCCTAAGAAGTCTAGGGAGCAAAACCRGACAAACTTGACAGGATGATCACTAACTAGCCATTTGATGATTTCAGCACTTGACACTGCAAATCCACCCTGCAGCCATTCTAACAAAGACATTTCTAACAAACTATGCATCAGCATCAAAAGGAAAAGCAACTTTAATCCTGAATTCTTTGCAAAACACTGGCCATTCAGCCCTGTAGAGCTTCCAAGAAAGAAACTTTGCAGCCAACAGGTAACTCTAGCACTTGGCAGACACTGATTGTTAATGTTATCCTTCTAGTTGGGGATGATTTGTTTATCAAATTGTAATCCAAAAATTGAGGCAAAGATATGAAAAAGCAATACTCGACATTAATGTAATCACAAAAAAAGGCAATGTGAAACTATTATACTAAAGTGAAGTCTTCCTAGTTCCATCTGGGAGGAARAAAAAAAAAAAGATGACACAAACACAATCCTAGCAAAATCCAAACAATATGTAAGCAGTGCCTGGAACAAGCGACATTCTCATCACTTGCTTGTCAACTCCAGGTGMCTGCAGCAAGTGATCTGGAGGTGAGTGGAGGGAGAGAAGATAGGAAAACAGGGGGAAAGATGGAATTCACTAAGTTTGATTTAAACAGCCTGTTTGCAGTCAAAGCCCATCAATCACACCCTACAGAATACATATCTTTCTAAAACAGTGATTCGCATGAACCTGATATTTGATTCCATCATCAAACCACAGTTTTCACACATAGTATAAGTAAATATGACTAGCACTACTTTGGACTAGAGTTCAGGTCCTGGCTTCTGCATCTRTAGTGATTAGTGGAGTTTATCCCAAGAAAGAGCACCTGGTCTTTTCAYGGACATTTTCTGAAACACATTACTAGGTATATAGGTTCATAATTTGATTTCCAAAAGTCATTTTAAAAGGACCGATTGAAATTTCTTTTTCATATGCCTTCCAAAACATGCGCCTTACTGAGTTTAGTTAAACAAGCGAACAAGACAGGGGCTTCTGCAAGCTAAAACACTGGTTATACTGCTCAGTAAATAAACAAACAAATAAACAAAATTATTTGTTCCTACTGCTGGAGCCAAGGCTGATCAATCCCCAATGAAAACAGCTACTTCAAAAAAGCTTCTTCGTAGTACATACTGTTGGTACTGTTAAAACTGTGGTATTGAGATTATTCCCTCTGTTTTTACAGAGCTTTCCATATGCTTTTCTTCACAGCTAGCACATTTGGCAGAACATGCTACCTGCTGGCAGTCTGTAGCAATGTGCAAGAAAAGTGAAGCATTGAGAGAAATAATAAAAATACCTCTGACCAGAATGCACGGAGGAGGGAGGGAGGGTAGTTGTGCAAAGATGTCAAAAGTTCRGGGTATAGAGAAGTGCCAAGCTGCTGGGGCAACTCTCTCAGTTAGATAACGGTGATCCTGTATAGCATCCCTCTACTAAAAGCTCTGCAGATAGAAGCAGACTAGCTCAGGCACTGGAACAGGACTCACAAGTTCAGTAAATGCCCATCCTTAAACAAAGCAGAAAGGCTTTCAGGAGATGGCAGCATGATACGGTCAGGTACACCAGCTTAGATGTATGTCACTAGCTTGCTGTCCAGTTAGCAGAAATGCATCACTATGCAATCAAAGGAGCTATCTTGTGCATTTCTATTTTGTATTTATCTTAATCACCTACTACCAGCAAACCAACAAACAAAACCTTTTAACCTATTTATTCATTTATGGGCAAATGAAATGCAGCATAGGATTATCTAGTGATCACTCCCCGCTAAAGCTAGTACACCAAGTCAATTCAGCATAGTCTCCTTCCATGCAGTAGATTTTTTTTTGAAGAGTACATGTAGGTCAAAGAATGCATTCTTTTTCTTTCACTAATAAAAGCATTAAATAAGGTGATGAAGAAATTTGGTCCTATTTATTTCAGCTACCTTAACCAAATGCTTTTCCCACTTTGCCTAGTCTCCAAATATTTTGAACAGAAAACTATTTGTAAGGTGGCTCTATGCAAATCTAAAACCTTTTCAATTTGCAATTGCAAAGTTCACTGCATCCCGAAAGACTTTTTATGTATCAGGAAATTGTTTGGCTGTATAAACCACAGCAACAAGCACTGGCATTTGGAAGCAGCAATGTAAAGAATCTTCCTTTATTGTCATTTAAGATATTGCCCAATAATTTATTAACCCAAACACTGAGAAATTTTGTTCTTTTCTCTCTAAAAGAATAGATGAAAGTGAGCATTACAGAAGGATAAGAAGAAACATTTGGAGAAAGAAATATAAATATTGTCAGGGAATGGGTGAATGTGCAGGAGATTAAGGGCATGGCATCTTGTTTAACGCAAATGTTAGCTGAAGGGCAAGAGTAAAATGCTGTATTCCCTGCCTAGACAGGTAGAGGACACCGCCATTTATCACAGAGGCACTTTTAGAATTGGGTCATCTACCACCTATCTGAAGTTGAACTT